ACAAACACATCATAAATAACAATTCCTTATACTGGGGAAAATCCAACCGTCTTTCTTAGGGATTGAAGTCAAAGAGGATCCAAATATGTCCTAAGAATATATCTTGCACAATTCAGCCCAGCACAAATAAGGCGATTAATAATTAACGGGATTGAGAAATCAGTCCACAGTGGGTAATCTCTCTTTTTCAGGAACTCGGGATTGTTTTAAAAAAAGGCTGAGTCCCTTTGAAAGACAAGGGAAAGTGCCGTGGGCCAGCAGTCTGGAGAGATGGTTTCAATCCCACACTACCCCTTAACTGAGCCTGTCCCCATCTATACAATGAGGGACAGGCTTGACAGTCCCTGTGAGTTTTAGATTTCTGCCACAATTTTCCCAATCCAGGCCTCCGAGAGAAGTTCATGAAAAGAATAAAATCCTTTCGAGCAATGCTAGAAATGAACCCGCTGGTCAAAGATGAACATTGTGCTATTTGGGTCCCAGGAGTAGGGCGGCCAAAGGGCACAAATCCCTCTTAATTTATTCAAGCACTTTGCCCAGCCAAATGACTATGCTTTGAAGCCCTACACTCCCCCGCCTCTCACCAAAACTTCGAGAGTGCCGGAGTCATCCCGGGTCTTTAAAATCCCGCCCCTGGAGAGGGGGAGGGGGCTAGGAGCAGAGGTCGAGTTGTGCGCCTGCGTATTGCGGTCGGCCGGCAGAGGTCTTGTAGGCAGCTGGGGTCTTGAGGCGAGTTCCGCGCAGCCTGGCCAGCCGCGCGAGATTTCCCCCCGAGTTCTGCAGCGGTGAGTGAGGCGTAGTGTCTCCAACCTGATTCTGAAGTAGTTGGTGTGATAAGGCGGGATCTAGGAACCCAGGGTGACCTGCAGGTTTCCTTCCGGAGCTATCGGGGACGTTGGTCTTATTGCTTGGGAGACTAGGTTAGGAAATGATCGGAGAGAAGCAGGTGTGTATGTTGTTTGTTTTAGAATTGTTAGCAGTGAGCAGTCTTAAGTTTGGACACGTTGCGTTCGTGGTGGGACGTTCTCTCAACACATGTATTGAGCACCTGCTGTGTGCCAGGAGCCCTTGGGTGGTACAAACGGTAGAGTACTTGGCTAGTAACCTAAAGGTTGGCAGTTGGAATCCACCCAGGGGCGCTTTGGAAGACACGCTTGGCGATCTTCTTCCGAAAGATCACAGCCATTGAAAACGCTAGAGAGCACAGTTCTACTCTGAAACAAAATGGATCGCCATGAGTCTGAATCCACTCGTGCAACTTTTTTTGGGTTTACTCTGTGCCACATATAGGTTGTTGTTGTTGTTGGGTGCCGTCGAGGCGAACTCGACTCATAGCAGCCCCTCCTTGTGTTTCTGGGGCAGTATCACTACTGAAGTAGATTGCCTCATCTTCCTTCCCAGGAGTGGCTGGTGGATTTGAACCGCCAGCCTTCTGGTTAGCAGTCAGATGCCTTAGGCACTACGCTACCAGAGCTCCTGCCAGATATAGGGGGTGGAGGTAAATCATTAAACAAAACAGACACAAATCCTTATCCTCTTGGTCCATACAATCTGGGAAGATAGCAGTCAACCTCTGGGGTGTAGACGCAGAATTTCCTTATGTGGTTGGTAGAGCCATGAAGGAGGGAAGAGCCATGTGAGATTCCGCATTTAAGACTTGGGTAAAGGAAGGTAGAAATGAGACTTTAAGAGAGGAGAGCTATTTCCTCTAGAGGAAAGAACATCTAAGAGAATCAGAGCCCTTGTGTTATATCCAAGCCATGGTCAGCAGTTCTATGTAGCAGAATAATTGAGCAAGATAAAGGTAGAGAAATGTACTGAAAGGTGTTAGTAAGCTCATGTTGTGGAGATGGTATATATTTTGCTTAAAAGTGTGCCTTACAGGGTCATTCTTACAGGTTGTGCTACCCCGGGCAAATTATTCAACCTCTCTGGACCTGTCTTTCCTCATCTATAAAATGGTGGTGATGACAGTACTAATCTAATAGGGTTATTGGGGGGAGAGATTAAACAAGATAATGCATATAAAGCATGTAGTCCACTTCCCGTCACTTAGGAACATTCAGGACACAATGGTAAGTAGAACTAGGACATGTATTCTGCTTTTATGACTGGCACCAGATTTTCCATTTGATCATTGATTTGGAATTATTTTGGAATTAACCATACCAGGTGGGAAATGTTTGCTTAATCTCTCTCAATAAGTAAAGACTTGCGTCCCGCCCTCCCCCACAATTTGGGATGAATTTAGCACCTCCTTATTCATATTTAGAACTTGTGTTGTTATGTGCTGTTGAGTCAGCCCCGACTCATAGCAACCCCTCCTTGGGTTTCC